CAGATCCTACCGGAGTAAGTTCTGATTCTCCCCTTTAGTTTACATTGGGGCTGTCAAAGGATTAAATAAATGAAACTTTATTTGACCGTGGAGTTTACAGACCCTGGGATCCCTGCGCGCTCTGGCCTTATTCTAATTCTATAGCGGTAATTACCCTTCGTTTCTTTAAGTGCAATAGATTTATTGCCTTAGAGACTATGCACAGTTTGATTGAATTATTCATTTTTTTTTCTTTGGTGTAGACTGCATCTGGGGACTGATGTGACGTGTAGATATTTTTTTTTTTTTTTTTTTCCCCAGGAACAAAGGGAATGTGGAAATGAAAGAGAGAGGGAGAGAGAGGCTGGCAGATGTGATGAGATGCGGTGAAGGTGTATCCAGCTTGGCACTCCCACTCCTCTCTTCTCCTCTCATTGCAGCCCTGGGTGACTCTCAGGCTAACACAAACAGCTTTTCTTCCGCAGCCTGCCCTCTGTCACTGTAAGTACAACAGCCTTCTCTTATCAGCATGCAAATTCCAGCCACACACTACCTTATCCTGGTGTTTGCACTTTAGATTTACAGAAGGGACGTTTAAAATGAACTTTCCGAGACAGGAAGGGGTTTTCATGCCGAGCTTGCTTTTATTTTCTTTGTAAAAGTTTATGTGGTTTTTTTTTTTTTTCAGTTCCCCCCCCCCCCCTTTTTTTTTTTTTGGAACGGGGGGTGGAGTGGGGAGGTTGTTGCTGTGGCTTTTTTGTCTCCTTATCAAGATGAGGCACAGTTTCAAATGAAATTAAAATCTCCTTGATCCTCTTTCTGCCAGGACAATACATTGTGTTGGCAGATGCTGCTGTAAGGAAATCAGAGTTTTTGTTTTCAGTCAGATCTTTAGCATTGGGCGTTATAAAATGTAAACCTCCCCTAAATTTTGAGGAAATCGCCAGAGGTTCTTATTCTAGGGGAACTCGGACCAGCTGATGGGTTTGATTATGAAGAAACGTGCAGTACTTTCATCTAGTCTAACAAAACTTTCTCCCAGTCGGATGATCAGGCTTTAACTTCTTTTCCTTTAGCTTTCTTTCAGATGCTGTAGATTGTTTTGCAAAAGTTTCTCTCAACATCTCTAACAATCCTATAAAAAGTCTTCATTGTCGGGGAGTGTCAGTAGAGGGAATTTATAAATATGCCTGTTAATTGTCCGGCATTAACTGGTGAGAGGGGAGTTTAGAACTGGATGAATGACTTTTAGGGTAGACTTTCTTGCCCTTTAAATCAAGACTTCCGAGACTGTTCCACCAACTCTACGGGAGTTTAGGTTTGCTCATCACCTTAAAGATGCGGCAAGTAAAACAACACACAGGTTGCTTCTCTTATTGAATGTTGCTTTACTTTAACGTATTTAATGAGAGACGACGAAAAATGCAGTGACAGCTATGAACAGGTAAGTGCCCCGACGTGAACTGAGCGCCTCCGATCCCTTCCCTCTGCAAGGACCCACAGCAGTTCAGCATCCCATCCCAACATCTGCTTGCGCTCCCTGCTCCGGCTGCTTTTAGCCTTAATGAAGCAAAACCAAGGGAAGTAGTTTAAAACGCGGGCTTTAAACGTATAATAATGCTAAAAGTAAAAGCGTTTTCTTGTTTCTTGGCACGTGTATACGCTTCTACACGGGGGGTGTTCACATATGCAGACAGAGGGGACCGCAAATATTCCTGTGCAGCGCACATACCCGTACATTTACATACAATGCCCAATGAACCCTCTTCTACCGCGGAGAAGTTACAGATCTCTGGCGCTGTGTGTTCCGTCTGTAACTTAATTGATCACACAGGGGAAGCAACAAGCTGGAGTGTCTACTCGCGCTGCTCCTGGGAGCGTGGATGTGTCTCCGCGGTATTCTGCCCCAGCGAATGTCACTCGCTGCAGAGGGCTTGCGGGAGCGCAGCAAGATGCTCCCCGATTTAGAGCTAGGTGGGCAGTAAGATTTATTTGACGCCTTAATTATCTCTTGTCCCATTACCGCCTCGTACTTAATAAGGAGGACGCTACATCTTGAGGAGTGTTTGTGGGGCTTCTGTCCCCCCTTTTTCCCGTTTGTTTATTGAAAGAAAAAAAAAACAACTTCCAGTAATAAATTGATGGGGTTGCAAGCTCGGCCAGGGTAGTTCATCCTTGTAGTCTGATTACATCTCTTTTTTTTACAGAGTTCTCTTTCTTTTCCTGCGCCAAAGCTACTAGTTACGCAAAAAGTCAAGGTGTTTCTTTTACTTGCAGCAGGCTTAAGCTTACAAGGAACGTGTTAGTGACCAGTCACGGGAATTCTTGTAATTAAAGATGAAAATGGACATAGCAAGAACTGAAAAGGCAGCTATTTCCTGTTGTTAAATCCATAGTCCAGATAACTGCAGCAAGGTGAATACTCTGAATTAGCTGAAGGCAGGTGAATACAAACTCAGTACTTACAATCTTACAATTTATGCCGTATCTCCAAAATTCAGGGGTTTAGTATCCTTTATTAAAATTGAAAGAATGCACAGAAAGCAGCTGTTGTGCCCTCGGCCAGCTAATTTGATGATAAAGCTTTACTGGATAATTTCAAAGTTCTGTTTCAAGCTGTTTGCTGCTTGCCGAATAGGAGGACATGATTGCTCCTTTCATGTAATGGAATTCCCCAAAATACTGTCTAAAATGGGTCCACTACTCCAAGAGGTTCTGACTTAAAACTCATTTTCCTTGGACTCGACTTGAGAGGGGCAATAATACCTCGGATAGCAGGGTAGAGGATGCAGTGTGCACGACTCCAGAAGTGTGTGGAGTTTTACAGCATGTTAACAAAATGAAATAGAGCCAGATCAGATCAGTCTTGTGCCATCACGTCCATGCTCAGTTTTCATCACGCCCTTATGAAGCCAGGCTCATTCACAGTGGGGCTGAGTATGCTTCTGTGTCTAAACTATCCCGCAAATTTCTACTAGAGAGAAGAGGAAAGCAGAATCAGGCTTTCTCCTCTTCTTTTTTGGCCTCTAAGTTATGAAGCTATTTTAAAATTAAAAAGTTTCTCTGTTACTAGCTGTTCCAGGCGCCTTCTGGAAAATGGGGAGAAAGTGCCAAAAATACAGAGATGAATCAACAACTTCTCTCTCTCTCTCATTTTGTGGGCTTGAGGTTGCTTCCCGCACTCCCATCTTAACAACAGTTTAGCCTAGGTGTGAATAATATCAAAAGAGGGAGACATTAGCTTCGCAGCACTGTTTGCCCACCTGACCTGAGGGCCCCTGACAGTTTGAAACACTCTTTTATGTTTACCTTTGGAATGTAAAATTACAGCAGAGAGACTTCTTGGATTTGCAATACTTTGTGCCACTGGTTGATATTCTCCTCGGCTCCTTATAGTTTTATCTTTTTCTTCCCAGATCCCTCCTCCCCCCCCCCCCCCCAATAGCACTTCCAAGGGAGCGCGAGTTCCTAAACTGGTATTCAAGCTGATATTCAGTAGGCAGAGAGAGAGATATTTATATATTGCCGCTGCTAAAATCTCTCGTTCTCACCACGAGAATCCCAACTTCGGCTCCAGTCCGTCCTAAATCAGTTTTTCTTCTACAGTCATACCTGTCTACCTTTTAACGGTGCTCACGTTTTACCTGTCTGTTGAACGCATCTCTAAATAGTTTGTGGGCTCCGAGTGGCTCCTCTCCCCTGGGTCCCCGTAGCTGGACTCCTATTTCTAGTGTAATTTACACTTTACAGTTCATTTGGTCATCTGTTGTGGTTTTTTTTTTTTCGTGTTTTTTCCTTTTCTTTTTTTTTTTTTTTCACCCTGACGGAGCTATGGGATCGGGCTCCTCAGAGCCCCATTTATCAACTGCCAGTGAGCGCTCGCCGAGTACTTTCCTCCGCGCTTCCCCCTCCAGACTTTCCCATGTCCTGCGAATAGTCTCTTTCCCGCTACCCACCCCCCCTTTTTTTTTCTTTCCATTATCTGGGAGCCGGGTCCCGGTAGGACTTGTGTGGCGGGTGCCTCCCCACGCACTCCCGGGAAGCGCCGTGCCGGGCGGGGAAAGGAGGGAGGGAGGGAGGGAGGGCCGGCGGGTAACATGCTACTGCTCCCCCCCGCCCACCCAGCGCAGCCCCGGCCCCTCGAAGCGGCTCTCCCGGCTTCCCCCCCCCCCCCCCTCCGCCCCGCTCCCCCTTCTCCTTTTCCGGCCCCCGCCTGCCCTCGCCGCCCCGCCCTCGCACCCCCTCCCCGGCACAACTTTCTAGTACCTTTCCTCACCACTCCGGGCAATCAGTGGTCATTAGAAGAGAGAGGTTTAGGGTTTCATTTGTCTAACAGCAATGTGAGTGGTGATAGCTTCTCGGGGATGCGGCTGGCAGCCTGGGGTGATTTCACTTTCTGTTTTGTGCTCACTTTCTCGGCAGTTGTTGCTTTCCCCGCTCGCTCCGAGTGTCTCTCTCTCTCTCTCTCTTTCTCTCTCTCTCTCTCTCTCCCTCCCTCCCCCCCCGTGTTGTCTCATCTTGCCTGTGCTGTCTGGGCGGGGGAGCTCTGCCTCCTTTTGCCTTCCTCAGATCAATGCCCTGGCCACTCACTTTCTGATGTTGCACGACGGGAAATGCTTTGAATACTTACGACATGGCCGCTCACATTGATTGCCAAGATTGACAGCAGTTAACCATCGCCTTCACTTGTTTCAGGAGGAAAAAAAAAAAATAATAATGAACCTGATTGTAACCAAATCTCCAGGCAACCCATCCGCAAACTTCTAACGATCGGGATCCTGCACCACATCCATGGCCCGGAGAAACACCAGCAGACTCTAGTTAATTTATTTTTATTTTGCCGAATTGCTCCCCATTTATTCCTTCTTCTCTTCCCCTTTCACCTCCTTCCCTTTTTTTTTTTTTTTTTTTAATGAAAATTACCGAAGCGCGTTGCAAAAAAAAAAAAAAGGAGGCTCTCCTAGTGCTTTGTGCCACACTGGATCCCGAGGAGGTAACCAGGAAAAAGAAGCCCTATTGTGTTGTATACCTGTTGTTTGCTGTGGTGTGTAGTGCTGCGTGGCTTGGCGGTGGCGGTGGTGGTTTAATGGGGTTTCGCTGGATTTATGTCGCTTTGCAGGAGAGAATCCGGTTCCCCCTGCGCTGTCTTTAATGGGTTATTAGTTGCAATTGAGTGAAGCAGCAGCGACCGGAGATAGATCTGTTGTTTAGCTTTTACCATTGTTGAATTCACCCCTTCCTCCGCCTCCCCCTGCACGATTATTTACTTTTATACCACGAGGGTGGTGGTGGTGGCTTTTTTTTTTTTCTTCCTCTTCTTTAGGGAAAAGTAGTTCTAGTCTCATCCCGGTACGAGTTTCCGGGGCTGCTCGAATCCCGAGGTTTCCGAGACGTTGAGGGACCCCAGTACCTTGAAATCACAACACTTTCTCATCCTTCCCGAGTAGAGTTTATTTTAAAATGTAGTGACAGATCAGTGTTGTATTTTAAGATCACCCACGGCAGGCGAACACATGGTGCGGGAAGATACTGTACGTAAGGAACTAACACGAGAGGGAGAAAGAGAGAGAGGAAAATTAAAATCTGAAATCTTTGCGAGCAGAGCGCTGCTGTCATTACTCTGGAGTGCTCGCGTGGGTTTTGCTTCACGGGTAACCCCAAAAGACACGAGGTGGAAAGAGGCGAGGGAAGTTCAGTGTCTCTTTTAGATTCCCCGTTAAGTTTGAGGTGGGTAAAGTGCTTTGGAGTTCGCCGCAAGCGAGTGCCAGCCTCGGAGCCCGGAGAAACGCAGAGCTCCGGCGGGGAGGCGGCAACGCTGGTTTTGGCCACAGCGGGGCACTGTCCGGGGAGCTGCTGCTCCGGGCCGGCGCCTTATCTCGCCAGGCAGAGGCTTCGGATAAAGTTATACTGAAAACTTTAAAATTGATATCGCACCCTAATTTGTGATACACAGGGCGGGGGAAAGAAAGCAGTCCATCATCAGAGAGCTCTGTTTACACCCGGGAAGGGAAGATGTGTGCTGCTTTGTGGAAACGTTCGGCTTGGGATTTCTTGCTGCCTTAGCTCTTTGCCGGAGGTCATGCAAATCGACCTTAAAAGAATGCATAAGCCATAAATTAAAATAAACCCTTAGCCAGAGGCTGATCCATAAGTAGACAATACCTAACCTGGACAAAACGGCTTCCTTTGAGAGCTGAAAAAAAGAATAGTGCCTAAACTAAATGCAAAGTAAGTTTTCAGGAAGTATTTCGCTTACTATTACTATTGTTATTATGATTATTATTTTAAAATAAAATAGTGGCAGTTGCAGCAAGCCAGCGCAGCTGTTTACAGACGGTGCTGTAGGATACAAGCAAGGCAAGGTGTGTCTGGTGGAGAGCTTGTTCTCCTGCTTTCACTACCTTCGAAGGTGTTTGGGTCTTGATGGGGGATAAGAAGCCTCTTAAACCGTATAAGCAATTTAATGTTTGATATCGGATAATGCTGAAGAGTTTACGAACAAATCTGGGTTGCCTGCAACTGTCACATGCGCGCACACAAGCTGTGTCTGTGTATAATAGTCTTGGGGCTTGTTTTTTTTTCCCGCAGCTTTTGACAATTGTTCCATTCATGATCCTGAAAGGAATCATCAGTGGGAGCTAATGAGTGTGTGCCTCCGCGGCTCGCCCTGCTCCAGGGAGGCGCGGGCACCGGCGCGGCCGCCGAGCCCGCTCGTGTCATGCGTGCACGCGTGTACCGGCGGCTGTGTGTGCATATGTGAGACAGAGTTATAGGCGTGATGTGAGCAGGTACTTCCACGCATGCATTAGCGACTACGCTGCCAGAGGGCTGCTCCTCTTCAGAGAGAGCTCCCCAGCTCCCTGCCCGAGTTGTGTGGAGCAGCGCCGAGCAGTTAACCCGCTGTGCAGCAGGGGTTGTGTGCTTCAGCAGAGCAGGGCCTTGAGGTCAATCACAGGCGCTGATCATATCGATTTGATTGCCGTCTTTGCTTACCGCGACCCGTTTCACAGGGGTGTGCGGGGGTGTGTGTGGGTGTTTGGTGTTTTGCTGTTGTTTTTTTTTACGGACAGGAAGAAGTGTAAGTGACAACGTGCAAAGACAATTAGTGTTGTGTCTGAGTGGCGAGGGGGGGCTGAAGGGAAAATCAGCCTGGTGGAAGCCTGGGGACGGCAGATTAGTGCTGTCGGAGGGGTGTTTCCCCAAAACATAGACAGTGAAAACTTTCTGTGATAAAGTAATATATCTTCGCCTGCTGTTTGCAGATAAGTATATGTTTATTAAGCTAATTCAAATAGCCTTCGGCACAAGAGTGGCACTTTGTTCCTACTGTTTTCTTTTACCCTCGTATTAACATTCTTGGTATTTCCATCTCCAGTGCTGATCGAGAGGACAGAAGTTTTATCCAGTCCTGTGTTTCAAGTCCAAAAATTAACGAATTTCCCTTTCTATACTCGTGTAATGGAGTAATATTGAAACCTGTTTTGAGACTTCGACTTGACTTGACTTGTTTTATTGACGTGCTTGTGCCCACTCATTTAATTAAGCCATTATGCCATAAAGTAAATAATAAGAATGAATGTGAGATATGTGCATGTAGTCTGCCATTATATACAAATATTTCCCCGGAAAAAGACGCCTTGAAAAAACTTTTTTTCAGCACGGTCATGATTCTTTGGCAAGATCTTATTGCAGGTTTTTGTTTTGAGCCAGGATATTTTGCGTGTTTCTGCGCTCACAATGTTATATGCACACTATGCTCAGAATATAAACAGCAAGCGTACCTAGCAGCTCATTCTAGTAAAACTAAGAAATAATTATTTATAGTGAGTACATTTAAAAGAAAATAATGAGGTCATTTGGAGTATGTTGGAGTTTGAAGTAGCTTGACACCTGGCAGAAACTACATGCGCGTTTTCTTCAGACTCTGCACTATCCATAACTTTTCCTTATAATACATTCTTGTGTTAAGTGAGAAAGGCTGTTTGTAAAACAATCCCCTGGCTGATTCCAGGGTTGGGTGAAGCTGATCCTGTAATGGCATTTTGTTTTGAACAGTTGCTGTAGTTGAAGTTCCCTCATAAGGTAAGGTGGCACTGGGTCTGAAAGGAGGTCCAAATGCCACATTTATAATTAGACTGCCAATTCAGCACATTGTATCTATTGCTATACAGGGATATACTGCTGTGTCTGGTCTCTCAATAGACTGTATTCAGAATTAGCCAATTCAACTGGTTAAACTTTGGAGTCAAATTTAGAATAGGCAATGAGAGAAGGAAAGAAAGAAAACAATAATGCTTTCTTTTTTCCTCAGCTAGCTATTAAAAGCCAAAGAATATACGGAAACCAAACCAGGCACTGCACTTGGAATCAATGCACCAAGCTCAGCCTGGCCAGCCTCGCCTGCAAAACCGTTTCGAAGCGCGCTTCTCTGGGGGGAGGGGAAGGTGAGCCCCGGGGACCGCTCCGAGCACCGCTCTCCGGGCCGCCTCCCTGGCCGCCGCCGGACTCCCGCAGCCGGCGGATGGCAGGGGGAAGGCGTGGGGGCCGGGGCCCGGCTGGGTGCAGCCCTGCCCGGCTCTGCCCCGGCCGCGCTGCGGGGCAGGGGCGAGTGCCCTGGTACCGCCGCCGGCTGGGGCAGTGGGGGACCCGCAGGGCTGACCCGCCGCAACGCCCCGGCCCCCGGCGCGACTCTCGCCGGCAGTTCTCTTCCAGGGGCGGTAGGGGAACGGGGGGGGGCGGCCCTCCGCGCCCCGCGGAGCCGTGGCGGCTGTCGGAAGGGTCGCGCCCTGTGGCGGGAGGGGGCAGCTGTAGCCCAGCGGGGAAGGAGCGGCCGCCGCCGGGGGACCCTGCGGCTCCGAGGGACGCCGGGCCGCGGGCTCCGGCCGCTGGCGTCTGCCCGCGTTGTCCCCGGATTTACGATTCCTGGCTCCTTTTCTCCTGTCATACTTTTTGTTTGGCTCACTCCGGCCTCCTCCCCTAGAACTTTAATTCATTCAGTGGTGAGAATGGAAGAGGTTCTTTGGTCTACATTCTCTCATCCTCTGCTAAATACATTATTTTTTTCTCTCTTCCTCACAGTTCAGTGCTGTTTCAGTACTGTTGGGAGACTTCGCTGGGCTTCTTCAGAGCTCAGTTAGCTCCTTTTGCTGCTAGATCATAGGGTGCAAACTAGTGCCATGTGTATAACACGTAGCATAAAGGGAGTGAGACAGATGGCTGTCTCTCCTTGCACAGTACTGATTCTCTGCTGAACTTAAGTAATTCTGCTTCATTTTTTCCTTATTAGGTTTACACACACAAGATGAGAAACAAAGTGGAGCCCATAAGTTTCCTTCGTAATGCTGCTAGTGCCTGACTTGTAGAAGATAATAACTGATGTCCAAAATTAGTTGCCTTCACTTGTCAGTCTGATTTTGTTCGCAAGTGGGAACTGCCAGTGCTTGTTCTCTAGCCAGTGGTTTTTAATATGTGGCCAGCAACTGTTCGTGGTCACTTCCAGTTGAACTTCTTTTACTCAATGAGGAAAAAAAAAAATCCCTTTGGACGTGGTTTTTGCATCTTTGATTGTATTTTTAGTTGAAAGTATCCTTGTATGTTTGCAGTTCTTAGAGGCCTTGGAATATCTTCTGTTAATAAAGGCCCGAACTTTGCCTGGTGATAGCAAACTGAAATACATTTTTTCTCAGTGAGCATTAGAAAGTTTCTGTAGTCATCTTATATCTGCTAAGCGCTTTTATCACCTTGGGAAATACCACTTCAGGAAGCATATCCATTAATCTTTCACACTTGGTTTGATTTCCCCCTTAAAAGTGTATAGATCATACTTAAAAGGCTTTCATCAATCTGTTTATTTGTTTATTTCATGGAACTAAAATTACTTGGGAAAGAGAAGCCATGATGCACTTTCCTTTATCTCTCATACAACAGAGTGATGTATATTTCTTTTTCCATAGTGTGGCTTTAAAGATCTGCGGGCTGGTTTGACAGAGTTTCTGTGTAAAGACTAACGTTTTAAAAGTTATGTAATAGGGGTGTTTGTGTATATAGAAGCTACATCAACTGAAGTGATACAATGACATATTTTTAAAACATTTCAGTTAATATACTAAATCACAAAGACAGAACTTTGAAACTTTTCTGCATGATGTCAGAACCTGTGAGAGAAGTACAGCGTTATGTTGTATTCAGTAGTTCAGATAGAGCTTATCTGTCAAGTAGCAGCAAAACACAAAGGTGCACGTTTCAAGTTTGTGCCTTAGGAAGCCGTTTTCTAGTCATCTTTTTCAGTGGCTTTTTGTGTGATTTTATTTACATAATTTTCTATTTTCTCCTTAGGTAGAACAGCAAGAACAGGAATTTTAGGGGACTTGTTACCTAACCCCTGAAACTGCATTTGCTTGTATTTTTTATAAGCCATTTGAATTTTTTTAGACACATGGTTCTCCCACAGTATCGATTGATGTATCGTTACAGACCACAGCATCGTATTGTGAAAACAGCAAAATATGGTAAAATATGTCATTAGAAAGGTTGTGTACTGGACCAGTGTGATGCCTATATGAAATACATATATGCTTATTTAGATGTAGTTCTGCTCAGAATGGGTGGGTGATACGATTTAGCGTAAGGTGTCCCTGCCCACGGCAGGGGGGTTGGAGCTAGATGATCTTAAGGTCCTTTCCAACCCTAACTATTCTATGATTCTGTGTTTGCTGGAAAGCAGCCGATTTCTACAGTGATAAAACTGGATAATTACATGTTCCCAAAACCTTTTCAGCACAGAAGTAGGTGTTCTTTTAAAACATTAATCTGTGGCAATAACAAATATTTGTGACATCATTGTAAGAGGTTTCCTGCCAATTTTTAGTTTACTGTCTTTCAGAAAGTCAAGAGTTCTTTGGCACTGGTGAAACTGCTACATGCACTATCATATATTCAAGTATTCAGTGAAGTTTTAAATAATTCTCTTTCAATTAGTACAGCAGGAACCTGAAAAATGGATTTTCTCTTAAAGAAAAAAGAATCAGTTCATAGACGTTTCTTTCCTTCTCTTGTATATTTTAAAATACTCGTATCAGTTCTGTTTATTGTTTTGTCTCCTTAAATTAAGAAGAAAGAAAACAGTATCCCAAGTTTGAAAATCACTGCTTGGAAATTAGTATAATCAAATATTTCTTGAGCTTTGTGAATTGGAAAGAGTAATATAAAATTAGATATACTGGTAAACG